AGTTGCTCTTTTTTCTCCTTTCCCTTACTCTTTAGCTATTTCTTTTGTATGCTGTATAAATTCACAATGCAACATATAATTTCCCATTTTCTTCTTTATTGGTATTCCAAAACCATCGTCCTATTTCACATTGTAGATGTGAATGCTACGAAAAAATGAGAGTTTAAATCTCAGTGGTGGTAAAAAAGTGCAATCATAAAGTAATTTCCAACGGTTTTATTTCGATGATTATTTCTGTTTACAAAAAAGCATCTTTAAGCTAAGGATTTTTTATTTTTGAGAAAATTCACATTGTAAAGATAAAAAGCTGAGTTCACTCGACCTATAGTGTCGTTGAGGTTGAACTAAATAATTTGGTGTTTCCAAATTGTGAGACAAAGACATTAACACAGAAAACTAATCCCAACAACTAGTTTAAAATAATACAGCTGTATAAACGCATTTGGATGTTTTAAGTTTAGATTCTTAAATTAAAAAATAAATTAGAAATTTTAAAAAGTTGAAGTAGGAAAATTTGAAGTATCGTGAAGGTTTAAAACTTCCATTACTTCAAACTTCATGAATTAATTCGAACAAAACAATCGACTTTAAAGAGCATCAAAAACTTGTAAAACCACACAACTCTTTAAAACTCTTAAGCATTGCAATTTATTTTGCATTCAGACCTTAGATAAATTCAAGAAGTGATGCTCATTTCCTGTAAAACTTTTGTTTGGCTTTACATAAAGTCTCTCAAAGTAAATGAAAAGTATTTGCTATAAATCAATTAAAAGTCTTTAGAAGTTCAATTGGCTTTCAAAATTGGCATCTATTCAAAATTTAATTTAATTAAGATGTTCAATACATGCAATATACAAGTGATTACAAGAATATAATAGTTCCTTAATTCAATATTTTTTGCTCCTAACATATCTTGTAAAAATGTCATGAAAATTTTCCATTTTCCAATCTCCTACATGCATAGGATTTTCTACAATAATAATAAATATTTGATAGTTATGTACTTGACATTCCAAACAATAAAAACGAAATGACTTGATAATATGAGAAAAATAAGCCAGTAGAGGAAGCATAAACATTGTCGAGTGTGCACTCGAAAAACATTATCTGATTAATGTTTAAGAATGAATTATCATTATCAAGAAAATTAAATCTCTACACACAAAAAAAGGAAAGGAAAGAAAGAGAAAAATTTTCTCTATGCATGCCGTTATAATAACATTCATTTCATTTATTTAGATGATGAAAATGATATGCGGACACTATTAAATGAATGAGAAAAAAAATTCAGACGAGAGACAATTTTCATCTCAATTTAATGTAAACTGTTCACATTGAGTATGATCCCGTATTTGAGATTGTTTGATTGAGAGAAAGGATACAAAAATTGAAGAGGGGATGAAAATTCTCTCAAAAGAGCAACAACAGAATGTAAACAGTGTAAATTCTCTCAAATCTATGAATTCTCGGAGAGAAAGGATGCTGAGAGAAAAGGAGTGGGGATGAAATTCTCTCAGCAGACAAAATGAGAACGAAAACAAGATGTAAACTATATAATCTCACCGATGACTAGCCAAAATATATTTTTTTTCATTTCCCCTAATAATTCATTTACTAATTTAAGGCAGTCATGTGACTTTGTCTAATCTTTAATATCCTCTCATTACTCTTATCATTTACAGCCTTTTTCAATAAAAGCGCCCGATAATCAAATAATTTATGTTTCTTCTTCGTATTTGAGAACTTTTCTTCTTTATCATCTTCCTAAGGCAATACTTAACATGTGGCTTCATATTATGAATGGGAAAAATATGATTGATTTCCTTGAGATGATTTTGCTCAAAAAAAGTTCTTTTAGGACGAGTGCGAACGATGAGAAATAGGAAGAATTATTGTGTGAAGGAAATAAGAAGAGAAGCTATATTTAATGAGCTTAAGAGACAGCGTACAATCAATAGTTTGTTAAGTCGATTTTAATAGGCTTCACGCTTCGTAGCAAGCATTTTTTATTTCGATTTTCTGTATGTATTTGTCAGATTTTTCTTTTTGACAAATTTAGCGATCAATTCTCGAAGTTTTTTCTCATTCTTTCATTTTTTATTTTCATTCTGTGTGTATCTTTGGAAGGAAGATTTATTGTAGAAATTCGTTGTTTGAAAGATTTTTTTTTCTCATTCTTTTTATCCTCGTTGGTAAGATGTTGAATTGAATATTAAAATTCAATTGAATTAGAACTTCAAAGATTTAGAAGATTTGACAAAAAAAATAACTACAAACAAATTTGTGTTAATCTTGATATTGAAATGTTGACAAAAAATTTATCGAAATGAAATATTGAAAGACTTATTGAAGAATTAATTTAAATCCGATTAACTGAATTAGATTGTGTGGGAATATTTGGGAGGCAGAATGCTTTTTTATCATTTATTGTTTGTTGAACTCTTGTCGAACTAGTTCTGTGTACAGTAATTTTCAATAAGAATAATTATAATAGAATCATATCAAGTATTAAAGGATTGGCTCAAGTTTAGGCAGACACGATTAGTAAGAAAATTCAATTTTCAAATTTATTCAATTCTTCTCAAAAAAATCGTTGAGCATTAAATTATAAAAAAAAATACAATTGAGCTTAATTAAGTTCGAAGAAAAGCCAAAAGAAACTTTCATTGATTAAATGAAAATTATAAATAGATTTCTAAAGAAGTGGCAAATTCTTTTGTAAAAGCACCACGCAATCATATTCATTTCTATCCATCATTCCATTCTGATCACATAAAAGCAATTGAACGGTAAAGCCTTTATACATATAAAGTATCTCAATGGTAATGTTTTAATTTATATAATTAGCGATGATAATTAATCATACTACTGTTTCAAACTGATAATAATCATTCGAGCTTTAATAATGATTTAATAAACGAAGATGAGTCTCAATAAAGTTACAGCTTGCTTTTCCTGAACATCTGAATGGGTTGAACAGATATTGAAATGTCATGAAGAATTCTTGTTTCAAAGTTTACTGGTTTTGTTGGTATTGAAGAACGGCTTCTTTTTCTAATAAATATTTGAGTTTAGAAATTAAGATAATGTTTGTAGTTTCAGCATCACGGATGCTTATCATTTTTAAAGAAGGTTCAGATCTTTTCCATAATTATTTTATCATATAAATGAATAAGATCAATATTGAAAATTTTCAGGATATTCAAACTATATAATTTTGCTGTACATATTTCAATGTCACGTCCTCAGTAAGTTTCCAGTTGATTATAACTCACTGCAATTTTGTTCGAAACTAGCACATAAAAATCTATCCCCAAACTTAGTGCATGTTTCATTCTTGAAATTGCTCCATCTTGCAAAAAATATAAGGAATATCCAAATAAACAGAAGAAGAAATGAAAGCAATTCCGTAAGTGCAATATTATTATTATTACCTTCCATGATATACAATATGTATGACTTTTTGAACTTCAGAAAACATAAATCATTTTCATATCAAATGGAAATGGCGAGTAATGCAAAGAAAACAGAAAAATTTAAAGAAAAAGCAAAAATAATTCATTTTTTTGTTAAAGAATTTAAAATTTCATTTCCGTATAGACTTTAAAAGAACTTTATAGTAAATTACAAGAGAGTCGTCTTCTCGTGTCTGAATATTTTCATATTGCAAAAATGCGGACATTAAATTCATTTTTAATCGTTATGAAATTTCCTAAGAAAACATAAAAATGTACAGTTGAGCATTAAAGAAAGAACAAAAACGAGCAAAAAATATCATTTTAATCTCAAAACTGTTGCAATCTCTGCTAACATAAAGAACATTATCATTTCTTTTAAATGAATAAGCCAGCATTTAAATGAGCATGAAATTATCAAATTCAAAAGCAAGACAGTAAGGTCAAATGTGACTAGAATTAATAGAGTGAAAAAATAATTATTATGTGATGTTTATGAGCTCATAAACATACAAAATCGCTAATTAGGCATACAATTACTTGGTAATTAGAATCAATCAAAGATTAACATACTGGATGCTCGTTCACTTGACGCTTACTTGACGATCTAAGTACTTAATACGAATGTCTTGTAATTACACAAAAGAAAAATAAAATTACAAGTGTTATTAATTGAGATAAGGATAGTAAACAAATAATCAACATAATAAAAATTGAGAATGGAATTGTATTTAAATTTTCTTCGAGATTTAAGTGTGGTGGTGAGTTAACTACAACTTGAACTTTCAAAGAAGAATTCTTTATTGTACTCTTCAGTTTAATTTTTAAAAAGTTTCAAAAAGTTTATAAATTTCTTAAAATCGAGATTCCGAAATCAAAGAAATTTAAATCAATTTGATTGTTTGGCAAAAAATTGATTACCAACATTCAATTAGCATAGAATCTGAATATGACTTAAGATAGCTTTATCAAAAATGCGTCCTTTTTATTATTCCTAAACATTAGTTTCATACTTAAACATTTTTTTTAACAACTCCAAGTGAAGATTTTGAATGAGAGACTTTTGTAAGTACAGAAAATTACACCCAGAACATATAATTATTAATCAAAAATTGCAATAATTTAATGTATTAGCATATAAATTGATTCTAATTCAGCATCGATAGATTTTTCTAGAAATTATTTGAAAATATAGCTTTAAAAACTTTTTTATTGCCAGCTATTGAATTTAAAATCTCCCCTAGTATCCAAATATAAATCATCGCCTAGATCAATTTCTTAAACTTTTCGTCGTCCCATTAACGACCCTTAGAAATTTTTAATTGAATTTTTTGAGTAATTCCTCTAAGAGGGAAAAATTTATTTTTAAAACGAAAAAATCTTAATCAATACTGAAATAATTTTAAATATTTCCACCGTTGAATGATATTTGATAACAATAATAACAAATACATTGACAAGGCATTTTTATGATTTGTTGATTTATTTTATTTTATTTGTATGTGTAATGTTTATATGTTGACAGATTTAATTGAAAATAATTAACTTACTCGCACGTAATAAAAATCTCCAGTCATTTAGCAATAACCATTCAGTTATATTTTCACTCTTGTGCCATATAGAGGCTAAACTTTAGTTTTATAATCCTGAATTAAATAAAGTAAGAAAAGTGCTGAATTAAGCGACAACATTCTGAAATTTTTGCATTGAGTTGAACAGGGTGCTATCTTTAAAGAATTTATTAAAGGTGCTTATCTTATCAAGTGAAAGTGCATCTGAATGAATTTTTAAATTTTCTTTGTATTCGTTGCGTTTCTCTTCCTATAGTATGAAAAACACTTTAATTGTGCAATCAGAAGGCAATTATTTACAAACCTATTTTCACATTGATCACACGAAAGGTGTTTTTAAAAATTAGAAACTTCAATTGATAATTTAAAGAAGCTCAATAAAATAAAAGAAACCAGAAACTGATTAATTATTTGCGATGTGAATGACTATATAGTTCTCTACACGGCTAGAATTTCCAAATCTGTCACATGAAGCGTATGATTACCGACTGTTCTTATCATGCCAATTTGTTTCTATCCGCTGTAACTGTCACTCAAATGTCACATTTCTTCTACTCTCGTTCGAAATTAATGATAATGACAATAATAATCAAGGTTAAGGTCTGGTCATGTTGTGAACAATCAACAAGCAATTATCTTTTTTTTAAAAAAAATTACAGTTTAAGAGTTTAATTCATAAATTAAGTTTCTCTTTTTTTTATAAAAAAAAAAAAAAACATTTCCATAATTCAGGCAATTTTGGCACGAGAACTTAAAGCATTCGTATTTCTTAAAACCTTCGGCTCAACCACGTTTACTAAATCATACAAAATAAGGCATTAAGAACGAATTTATTTTATCATTAATCAATTAACTCATACATCTTCCCTTATCTAAGATAATTATGGCATCATATAAAATTGAAGTTGTTGAATCATCCCCAATATCAGTTCTGGGTGAAGGTCCACATTGGGATGTAGAGCGCCAAAGCTTGTATTATATCGACATTTATGGAACAAATCAATCAATTTCTCGTTACGATTACAATGCAGGCAAGACTTATAATGCAAAAATCCCCGGACACCCAGTAATATCCTTCATCATTCCTGTTGATGGAACAAAAGATCAATTCTTAGTCGGAGCTGAAAAGAAATTGATTATAATTGAGTGGGATGGTAAGAGCAATGAGGCGAAAGCTGTTAACGTTGTCGGTGAAGTGGAATTGGATATGGAAGAAAATCGATTTAATGATGCAAAATGTGATCCCTTTGGACGATTCTATGGAGGCACAATGAGACTTGGTAAGTAGAATAAATTATATTTTTATGAAGAGACTATTCGTGCAAAAATTTCTGATATTATTACATTATAAATCAATTAGCATCGATTGCATTATCTGATGAATATTATCTTTAATTGCAATTTAGATGTGACGTGATAAAAATTGAACAGGAACACATGTTAAGTTTGAATGAACCAGATTTTTGCGTTTAATTAAATTTAAATTTTAAATCATCAAATTGTTTGAATTACTGAGAAATTAATCTCTTTACACGTGTACCGTATTCTTTGAATTTTAAGCTTTGATGTTTGTTTTCCACGAAAATGCAACTTTGTATGTAAGAAAGGCTTCTTCGAAGAGCTGAAAATGAAAATGTTAATCATATAAAAAATTTAAAAAAATTCTTCAAAAAACTTCATTTCAAATTAATTTCCATTTCCGTTGAAAGACTTACTGAATGGAAAAATTAAAATATTCATTTTCTCTTTTTTCACTAGAACTGGTTCATGATATTTTCGAAAAGAGATTGGGAACACTTTATCGTTATACAAAAAATGAGCAATTTGTACCAATAAAACGGAATGTTGGCATCAGCAATGGCTTGACATGGAATGAAAAAACTAATAAATTTTACTTTATCGATTCTGTCGATTTGGATGTCAAAGAGTTTGACTATGATCCTACTACTGGAAACTTGTGTAAGTACGAACAATATAAAACTATATTTTTAAAATCAAATTTAAATATTTTTACATGCTCTATTTATTCGTCCACACAGCAAACGAACGCGTCGTTGTTGACTTTAAAATCAATGGTGAACGTCCAAATTTTGTGCCTGATGGAATGACAAGTGATACAGATGGAAATCTCTATGTTACAACGTTTGGTGCTTGGAAAATTTTCAAAATTAATCCCAAAACGAATACAATTGAACTCGAGATTAAAATGCCATGTGAACAAGTTACTAGCGCAGCATTTGGTGGACCGAATTTAGATATCTTATATGTGACAACGGCAAGTCAAGAAAGAGCAACAAAGCAACCACCACCCTCTGGTAGATTATTCCAAATCACAGGACTTGGCGCAAAAGGCACTCCAATGAAGAGCGTCAAATTGAATTGAAAATGTGTTAAAATCCTAACAAGATTTTTCCGTCTTCAATAAAAATAAAATAAAATAAAAGAGAGAAAAGAAAATTCAATTTTGACCACAGAATGATGACAAAGCTATTTCCTTTTTTTTCGTATGTGTACTTTATACTCAACAATTTTCAGTGACCGAGAAGAAGAAGAAGCATTTACATGAATATTGAAAGGGATGTGCTTCAAAAAGTAATTTTATTAAATTCTTCTTATTATTAAATTTCAGATTCTCATGCATCCATACGTAAGTGTGTGTCCTTTTTCAATCAACCATGTCAAGAAAAGTATCAAAGAACTTCAAAGTAACCCTAGATAAAAATTCATGAATGAGAATGTTAAAGGAAAAATCAAAGATACTCAATAAAATTAAAAGAATTTATAAGAGCATGAAAATTGGCATTTACAAAAGAGAAGAAGAAGCAATTTAAAAACATTAAAATTATCTGCCTCTTTTGTAGCAATTTTAATTTTAATGTAATTATTCTTATGAATAAGTTTAATTTTCATGCTTAAGAGTTTATCTTCTTTTTAATGAAATTTTTGAGGAGCACAACAAGATTTAAAACGAACATCACCTCTTCTTGAATGTAAATATGGGATTAATATAAAAATGATGTTTAAATAAGAAGTTTTAGGAAAAAATAAATAAATTATGAAAGACGAATGTTCAGTTGTAAAGTCAGATTAAGTAATGCAAAAATGAAAAAAACTGACTCCTCTCATTTTTCAATTATTAATTATCTTGTGCTTCAGAATTCATCCTACAATCTTTCAAAATACAACCATAATTTTAAAATCATTCAACATAAATCACCTTACAGAAAAGAACAAGCAATACGTCATTGAATTAGACATAATTTATTTCTTAATTTAAGAAAGTTTTTTTTGAAATCTTAAAGAGCTTTTATGCTCTCATGAGCAGCTTGTTGCTAAGTTTTAATTTGCAAAAATAATTGTTCTTGCCTTCCTATTAAATTGCAAAAGAGAAAGAAATTTAATTTTTTATTTCCCACGAGAAGAAGCTTAAAAATTATCGGAAGAATTTTTGTGGCAAAGGAAAACAGGAACTTTGGTTTTATAAATTCAACAAAACTTTCATTTTTGTGTTTACAATAGAATAATTATTTTGGCATTTTGAAATGTTATTTACCAGGGGTGTAGTCAGGGAGGGGGGTCTTTAAGTGCCCGGGCACCCCCCTTGAGATTGAAATTTTATACAAATTTTTTTTAAACTTTGAACCGCAGTTAATTAACAAAGGCAAACTAGTTTAAATAAGAATAATAAAATTAGATTTTAATGATCGAATAGAGAAGGTTTTGTTGAGTTTTTGCAATAAAATTTTTTTGGGCACCCCCTTGAAAAATCTTGGCTAAGTCCCTGTTATTTACTCAGGGTTGTTTTATGATAATTAATATCACTTTTGTGGTAATTTTTCATTAAAAAAATTGATTACGTTGTAAGTTTGATTAATATATCAAATTATGCAGCAATTTAGACTTTTGAATACCTTTTTAAGATGTTGTATTTGATTAGTGTTTTTCAATACATATATCGATTAATTTAATTTAAAACCAGGATGTTTAAAATACATTATTCAGAGTAAAAGTCAATTTTTCGAGTATTTCTGAATCAAAATTTCCTTCCTCCAACTTGTTATAAAATTGAAAGCGACCCACAACGTCTTTAAAATCCATAAAATAGCATTCTCTGTTGATAATTAGTGAATTATTATTAAAAAATCTTCACCTCTGCAAAAAAAGCACATAAAAATGTCACTTAATGCAACCAAAGCTCTTTTTCAAGTGCAATAAAAAATGAGTAGCATCCTGTGGTGTTAATGAAAAAGCTGCATAATGATTTATGATCATCTGCGATTCGAGAAGTTTATTTTCCTTTTAAACTATTTAATAATGTGAACAATGTAGATACCAATTAGTGCCATTTTTTGCTTTTTAAGAATTTATTTTTCAACTGCAACTAATGTAATTCTTCCTCCTTTTTTTGTTGCTCCTAATACTTTTTTACAGATATAGTAGCAATGTTTTTTATGCATCTCATCAAAATCATTTGTAGTTCAGTTCAGTGGTAGAATAAGAAAAAAAAATCTCTAGTTCGTTTACTAAGTTTTGAATCAGCATAATGTTTTCCTGCATCTGACAGTTTATTTTTCTTTTCATCTCTCCAATTTTTGGGTTATGTGCAATGTAAAATGAACGAATGAGCTTTTGCCAAAAACTATTTTTTTCATACAGCCAATAGTGTTCTTAAAAGATGTCGAGGAAGACTAATGCATTCATGTAAAGACGAAAGGAAAGGCAAAAAGTAAGAAAAGAACAATCTGCAACATGAAATACAATGCACATAAAAAGTTTTTTTTTTTCAAAATCGCTCATGTGCTGGTTTTTAATTAACATAAACGTTCAAAACTTTATCGTCTATGGCTAAATGTGTATACATTTTTCGGTTTATATTAAATTAGTTTTGGTACATGTAGTTTTGAAACGAGTGCTTTTTATGACGATTTCATCATCTCCATCTACAATAATTTATGTTCAAAATTTAATCTTTTACGAAACTTTCTGTTTTAGAAAAATTAGATTTTTTTTTTCGATTACGTCATCAACAAGAAATATTTTTTAAGGATCGAATAAATCCACGAGAATATAAATAATATTTTCTTCTTTCATATCCTATATCGTGTTGATGTAAAACACTAGTCATCATCATCACGTTTAGATAGTTCTATACATATCCGCATTTACACTAAAAAATAGGGGTTAAATGCTGTTCTAACATAATAAATGATTTACGTACCATTCATTTTTCCTTCCTTTTCTCCTTAACTGCTTATTCTGCAAGGCTAAAAGCTCCTCGACTACTTATAAGCACAAGCGAAATAACACACAAAAAAGGGTAGAATTTCTATAAGATAAATTGAAGTTAGAGGAGAGTATTTTTTTCGAAATAGTCTTTAGTTGCGTATAATCATCTATAGAGGAGAAACCTTCCGTAATCGTTTATCATTTTATATTTTATCTATGACTAAACTCTCTGTAGTCTGCGACAATCAACCACATCTGGTGTTTCTCCAATTTTTTGTTGTAGCATAAAAAAAAGAATTCCTTTTTAAGACATTTATACACATAAATACTTATAAGTACAAATAAAGAAAGAGGAGTCACAAAAAAAATCTATTTTTGCTACACCGTCACCAATTCATGTAATACTTGAACATAAACAACATCATGAGAAGAAAAAAAATTAAGGAGGATGAGAAGCAAAACTTTTCACATTTATTTGTTACGCTTTATTTGTTGGAAGAAGAAGACTAATAAAAAACAAATTTTCGGCAAGCTTTTGCTTCTTTTTATTGTTCCTTCTCTCTCTCTCTCTGCTATTTTTCCTATTTTATGTTCTGAAACTATGTGCATAACATCAATATGTTTATGCTTCCTATATGCACTATAAATACTATTATTATTTTCGGAAATATTGACTGTCGTAATTATGGCACTTTCAACTTGCTTTTATAGATTGTTGATATTTTTTTCAATTTGTCTGCTCATGACTTGGCAGTGTTATGGATTGGATTATGGAGTGATGTAGAGTATTTGTTGAATTTTTATTAAACTTTACTTGCATGTATTGAAAAATTACGAAGAAAATGGTAAGAGTGTTTTTAATTTTGCCATCCCAATAATTTTCTATGGCTAGATACTTAAAGGGCTATTAGAGATAGGTATTTGAGATTTTTTGTCTTCAGAAACTTTAGAAAATTAGAGAAATTTTTCGGAAATAGTCTACTTTAGATTAAAGGACAATGTATAAAACTTTGCTCTACAATCGAACCTACTTGTTGTCCATAAAACATGATTTTATTTTCATAGACTTCGTCCACTCATCCTCACATCGGTTAATTAAATTCAAGTTAAGACAGTATTAATACAAGACCGCATGAATGCGATCGTAAAATGACAAAGTCATAAAACATAAATATGTGTTTGATATAAGAGCAAATTGTGCTCGTCGTTAGATCCCAAAAGTGTCAAAATCTTTCATTTCTTCTTATTTTGTCATGCCATAAATTCACCATAAATTTTTATTTCATTTTTCTTTTTGATTCATTCTTCTTTTCAACACAATAATTTGCAATGAAATCAAACGTTATGGCAAAAATCAAATGAGAATGCTAATCCCAATGTACTCTTTCTTTTCCTTTCCTTGCTGCTCCTCATTTTTCTCCATTATAGACGGTGTAAATCGTGTATTCATTGTGCAATTCAAATCACGTAAGAAATTTTTTTTATTGACAGATTTTTATGAGAAAAGCTGTAGCTCTTTTGCGGTTGTACTATAACAAGATGCGAGAAAAATTTTTATGACTCTTTCTTCGATTTTTCTTATTTTTGCTTTCATTTGACAATGACAATTTAGCTCATTTTCTGTTGCTATTTTTTGTGTTCATAGATGTCCATTGATGACACATTTAAGAGATGAAGGAAAAGGGACCATTCGTAAGATAGTTAGAAAGCGAATAATAGTTAACGACGGTTATTTCAATTGACAAAAATTTCGAGTGTTCTTGATTACAACCAATTTCATTTCATTTTCATTCTTTCCCAACCAGTTATTTTGGTAACAAATCGAAGGATGTGTGCTCATTTTAGTACTTGATAACACTTTATGTTAAGATTAAATGACATGCTATATAATAATAATCGTTATTTCTTATTCTTTATATTCTATGTGTTTCATAACTACTTGCAATACATTTGGCGTATCCTTCAATTTGTTGAACAGTTGATTAAGACTTTTATGAACATATCAATTTATACAAGCAGTAGATGCTGCTTTACTCACTACAAAACGTAACCGCTGATGTAACAAAGAGTATTAAAATATTGAGCATTATTTTCAATGCGCTACACTTCAGGAAAGGTCTTCATCATCATCACGTTCGATACAATTGTTAACATTTATTTCATATAATAAACTCCATATATGTATTCATATGTAATAGAAGTTAGTGCACTGAAATATTGAGCTACTCCTTGATATGATAACGAACCT